TTTTTTTTTTTTTTTTTTTTTTTTTTTTTTTCTGTTGTGTTTTTTTTGTAGCTCCTGTTGAGGAATCTGGTGCTGAGCACGATAGAGTATGCGATAGATCAGTTTGCAAGTTTTAGAGAAAATGAAAGGTGTGGAAAAAGCAAGGCGAATAGTCTTTAAGTGCCGAAGCAGAAGGAGAAGCTTATAGTTGCTCGGTCTCAAGAGGTGAGGTCTTCATAAATCATAGATCCTTGATCTTTTATTATTATTTTTTCAATAAATTCAAATTTGGCATTGTGATTGTTGCTCATGAACTTACATCGTGCAATTGGCTAAACTGATGTGGATGTCTGTTTCGTCGTTCTAAGGAGGATGATATTTGCGGGAGCAAACTGGATTACATGGGACTAATAAGTAACAAATTTCATTCCTTAGCCTGTATTTTGTCGTAAAAAATACGATCATTGGTGCTATTGAAAATATGATCATTGGCCATTGGTGCTTTCGAAGGTTATTTTGGTGTTGAGTTGGAACTTATGGGTCTGAGTTTTGTGATGGTTGGACAGTAATTGCATCAACGTTCATAAAACAAGGAGTCGAGAGACAATGTCTAGGAAGGTTGGTGTATTATCAGTTCGATGGCCGATTTGAGTATGACTGATACGAATATGGTTGAGCAAGAGAGTTTAGTCCCGGAACGTGAGCAAATTCGAGATGAGCGTCCTGTTCGCAAAAAGGGCCGACCACGTTGGCATGCAGATTTTTACATACCCAAGTTGACGGGATCGAAGACGAAGGCGTAGTATTTTTATTACAATTTGATGGTCATTTATTTCTAGAATATTATTAGTCATTTGTTTAGTGTTTTATTTTATTTTCCTTCATAAGTATCCTTTAGGGTTGTTTAAGATTGTGGTATGTATATAAACCACTTATCTCATGAATTGAAGCAGAGAAATAAAATTAAAAAAACGAGTTTCGGCTCAAGGAGTTGGCGTTTGCTCGAATAGACGCAAATCTTGATACTTGTTCGTATCAATTGGTGCTCTCGTTGAGAGATGGCTACGGATGATAAAAATTACAACAAGACTGAGGCTTTAAAAACAGATCTCACCCTTCGCCATCTGCAGGAGCAATTTGATAGGCAGACTGGGGTCCAAAATCAAACCAATCTCAATTTTCAAATGACCTTGGATGAATTGAAGGAAATGATGAAAATCATGACCATAAAATTGGGGGGACTAGCAGCGGAAAGTTCCAGGCATTCTGCTCATGCTAGGGCACAAGAAGTGGCTGGAGGAAATCACATGCGTTTTCCTTCCATGAGACTCGAGCTTCCCCGATTTGATGGAACGGATCCGCACGGGTGGATTTTTCGGGTACAAGAATACTTCGATTATCATGAAACCCCAGATGATCAAAGGATTCAGATAGTTGCTTTTACCATGGAAGGCAAGGCTTCCGACTGGTACCAATGGGCAAAAGCAAGTGGAATATTACAGACGTGGACAGAATTTTTAAGACAGGTGAGAATTCGATTTGGCCCATCACAGTTTGAAGATTATGTAGGAAAGCTCTCAAAGTTGACTCAAACGACCACAGTTTCGGATTATCAAGCGGAGTTCGAAAATCTAATGAATAAGGTAACAGATGTGGCCGAACCAATTCTGATATCCATGTTTGTCACTGGTCTACATGTCGATATTCAAAGAGAGCTTCTCATGACCAAACCGAGTACATTGGTTGAAGCTTTTGCATTAGCAAGGGTATTTGAATCAAGATACGCCTCAGCAGCTCCTCTACCGCGGACTCAAAACAGCTGGGTCGGGCGGATGAATGCTAGCAGCGAGCCCAATCCTACGACTATGAAAGGCGGGGTCGGGGCTACAATGGTAGCCTCAAACAAAGGAACGTTGATACCAAACAACTCCCAGTCCAGTGGAAAGGAGAGGCCACTTCCTAACCCAAATCGGAGGATATTACCTATACGAAGACTCACGTCGGCTGAGATGCAACAAAAAAAGGTTAAAAGGGGAATGCTATAATTGTGAACAAAAGTGGAACCCTTCACATCAATGTAATAACCAATATTTGTTGCTCGTTGGAGAACCGGAAGAAGAGGTTGAGACAGTGGAGATGGAAGACGAGGAGGAAATTGCTATACAAGGTGATTTATCTAGCTTGAATGCTTTTTCAGGACCAGATACACCTCGTTCACTGCGGCTATGGGGCAAGGCGCAAGGAAAAAAGCTTCATGTGTTGATCGACAGTGGAAGTACACATAATTTTATAAGGCCGGAGGTCGCACAAAAATTGAATTTAGAAGTGAAAAATAACATCCCCTTCCGTGTATATGTTGGGAATGGAGAAGCACTGGTCTGCCGCCACAAGTGTGTTGGCCTGGAACTTGACCTTCAAGGAACTAAATTTCTAACAGAACTTTATGTACTACCTATTCGAGGGCCAGAGATAGTCCTTGGTATGCCATGGTTACAAGAACTGGGTAAAGTCATTCATGACTATAAACAGATGACTATGGAGTTCCGATGGAATGGCAAAAGAGTAACTTTGCAGGGCATTGAGGGAATGGAGCCACGGTTAATATCTTATAACCAATTAACGGCCGTGATGGAGTCGGGAGATATGCTTGAGATGTTCGAAGTCTACAGCATTTCTAGTGATGGGGTCGAGAAAGAAAATTCGATTCAGGTTCCGAAGGCCTGCAAACCATTATTACAGGAGTTTGCTGATGTATTTCAAGAGCCAAAAGGATTACCACCTCGCAGGACATATGATCATAGGGTCCACCTTCAACCGGGATCACAACCGGTCAATGTTCGACCTTACCGTTATCCTTATTTTCAAAAAGGAGAAATTGAGAGGCTAGTCAAAGAAATGTTGGAGCAGGGAATTATTAGGCCCAGTCACAGCCCGTATTCTTCTCCGGTATTACTGGTAAAAAAGAAAGATGGGACTTTTAGGTTTTGTGTTGATTATCGAGCTCTCAATGCAATCACTACAAAGGACAAATTTCCTATTCCTACGGCCGAAGAATTATTTGACGAGTTGGGGAAAGCACGAGTCTTTAGCAAGCTCGATTTGCGTGCGGGATATCACCAAATTCGGGTCCATGAAAATGACATTTATAAGACGGCATTCCGAACGCATGAGGGACACTATGAATTTTTAGTGATGCCATTTGGGCTCACTAATGCGCCCTCGACTTTTCAGTCCGTGATGAACTCAATGTTGACTGAGTATTTGCGACGCTTTGTCGTTGTTTTCTTTGACGACATCTTGATCTACAGCAAGACAGAAGAAGATCATTTAAAACATCTAGCCTTGGTACTTGGTTGCCTCAGACGTAATATGTTCTTTGTTAAATTATCTAAATGTCATTTTTGCCAAACTCAAATTGAGTATCTTGGGCATATCGTGGAAGGTGGGGGAATTATGGCGGATACTAAAAAAATTGAGGCCATGGTGGAATGGCCCGTACCAAAAAATATAAAGCAATTGAGGGGATTTTTGGGTTTAACGGGCTACTATCGTCGCTTTATAAAACGGTATGCTGAAGTTGCGGCGCCTCTTACCAACTTACTCAAAAAAGAGGCATTCAGATGGTCTGAAGAGGCAAACACGGCTTTTGAGGCTCTTAAGGTAGCAATGACACAAGCACCGGTATTACGTTTACCGAACTTTGAACTTCAGTTTGAAATCGAGGCTGATGCATGTGGATCGGGCATAGGAGCTGTTCTTATGCAACAAGGTCAACCGTTAGCCTATTTCAGCAAGAAGCTAGCCCCCAGAGTGCAGGCTACCTCGACTTATAATAAGGAGTTGCATGCTATCGTTCAAGCAGTCACAAAATGGCGGCAATATCTTTTGGGGCGAGCATTTGTGATTAGAACAGATCAAAAAAGTATCAAGGAGATATTGTTACAGACAATTCATACCCCAGAACAACAAATACACATTCGGAAATTATTGGGGTTTGATTTTCGCATTGAGTATAAAGCTGGGGTTGAGAATAAAGCAGCGGACGCGCTGTCACGAAGAGATGAAGATGGAGCTGAAGGGGCGGGCATGTTTCAGTTAAATGTCTCGACACCTATGGTGGAGTTAATCCATGAGATTGAAAGAGAGAACAAAGAGCTGCCAACGTTGATTCGTTTACATGAGGAGTGGCTCAAAGAAACTCTTTCAGTAGATTGGACCGTCCGAGATGGGAAGCTTATTTATAAAGGTCGGTTTTATTTGGGGAGGGAGTCACAACTGAAGAATCGAATTTTATTCGAGTATCACTCGACCCCTTTAGCGGGACATGCTGGTGTTACCAGAACATTAGCTAGAGTGGCAGCTAATTTTTACTGGGATGGCTTGAGACGTGATGTAGTCCTTTTTGTCAAGAATTGTTCCATTTGTCAGCAAGTAAAATCAAGTAATCAGCCGCCAGCCGGGTTGATTCAGCCATTACCTATCCCCGAGCAAGTGTGGGAAGATGTCACCATGGATTTTATAGTTGGGTTACCTCCCTCAGATGGAAAAACTGTGATAATGGTTGTGGTGGATCGACTCACCAAATTTGTGCATTTTGAGAGTTTACCCACTCAATTCACTGCTTCTAAGGTTGCTGAAGTATTTGTCCATTCCGTTATCAAATTGCATGGGTTCCCAAAGACTATTGTGTCGGACCGCGACCCTATATTTACGAGTAAATTTTGGAATGCTCTATTTGAGTTTAGTGGGACAAAACTTCTACACAGTAGTGCCTATCATCCTCAAACGGATGGGCAGACGGAGGTTGTAAATAGAAGTCTCGAGCAATACCTTCGTTCATTTTCCAGTGGCCGACCTTCTACGTGGACAAAATTTTTGCCATGGGCTGAATATTGCCACAATACTAGCTGGCATAGTAGTCTTGGGATGACACCGTTTCGTGCTTTGTATGGGCGGGACCCCCCTTCGATAATTCCATATGAGCTTGGACGGACTCAAGTGCAAGCAGTTGATTGCATTCTAGCAGAGCGTGATGAACTACTTCGGGAACTCAAAGCAAACCTGTTGCAAGCTCAGAACCGTATGAAACAAAAGGCCAATAAAAAGCGTCGGGAATTGAGTTTTGAGATCGGTGACATGGTTCTGTTGAAATTGCAACCTTATCGGCAAAGTACAGTAGCTCAACGAAAATCCCAAAAGCTTGCTCGACGATATTTTGGACCATTTTGCGTGCTGGAAAGAATTGGTGAAGTGGCCTATCGCCTAAAATTACCGGAGGATGCTAAGATACACCCTGTGTTTCATGTATCTCAGCTCAAGCAATTCCACGGCGACTATGATGGAACTATTACCTCATTTCCGACAAAGGTTAAGGAAGGAAAACTCATTTTAGAGCCTTTGGCAATTTGTGGTGAGAAGCAGGTACTTGTGGATGGAAAGCCTGTGGTTAAGGTGTTGGTGCAATGGAAAGGAGTTCATCCCGAGGAGACAACCTGGGAAGTAGCTGAGGAGTTTTTTAAAGCATTTCCATGGTTGCGCCTTGAGGACAAGGCGCCTGTTCAAGAGGGAGGGGATGATACGAATATGGTTGAGCAAGAGAGTTTAGTCCCGGAACGTGAGCAAATTCGAGATGAGCGTCCTGTTCGCAAAAAGGGCCGACCACGTTGGCATGCAGATTTTTACATACCCAAGTTGACGGGATCGAAGACGAAGGCGTAGTATTTTTATTACAATTTGATGGTCATTTATTTCTAGAATATTATTAGTCATTTGTTTAGTGTTTTATTTTATTTTCCTTCATAAGTATCCTTTAGGGTTGTTTAAGATTGTGGTATGTATATAAACCACTTATCTCATGAATTGAAGCAGAGAAATAAAATTAAAAAAACGAGTTTCGGCTCAAGGAGTTGGCATTTGCTCGAATAGACGCAAATCTTGATACTTGTTCGTATCAATGACGATACACACAGATGGTTTACCTCTTAAATTCGGATTTCAAAAAAGGGGATGGTCAGCGGCGGAGGAAGATATGCTCTTATGCGAGGTAAAACATCAAATATGTCCGACTTGAAAATTCTACCCGTTTTCGTCTGCAAAGTGTGGTTTCTTATCCTGAAAGGCATATACTGTATCCGGAGCATTTTTGGAATAATGTTCTGTAAATTTTTCTGATCGTCTTGTGAACATAAAATTCCATCAAGTAATTTACTTTGGAATAACCTAAGATTGTTTTTGGGAAGTCTGTGCTTTTTATATGTTCTGTGTTTATACAATCATCACACCAACAACTCAATTCATCTCAATGCTCATAAGAAAACAAAGCAAATAAGATAAAAAAAAGGAGAAAAACAAATACGGCCATTGTCGTGTCGACTTATATCGTGCGAATTTGTTAAGAATTGATCGTTTATTCAGAATACCGGCGAAACTGAAACGACAAATAGTAGTCTATTTAGCAAAAGTAATACATTCACATACTTGATTGATACAAACGCATATGGTAAACAGATCAAAACAACACAGAGGATCAGCTCCGCTTGACGGGATCGAAGTTGGACACGCCTATCACGGCACCAATGATGGCGGTCACAACAACTCCACCGGCGGCTATACTCAGCAGGAAGTTCTTCAGCGACGGCGAGACGCCGCTTGCCGCCTCCGCCACGTCCGGAACCACCATTGACGCGGTCAACGCGGCGGCGGTCAACCCAGTGACGGCCTTCTCCTTCAGCGAAGCCCTGACCTTAAACTTGCCGGCCGCCGGAGTCGCCTTGGACGACCGCAGGGGAAGCGGCTTTAAGAAGGCGCCGGCGATCGGCTGCGTCTTCTGGCTGGCTCGGACCAGCGGCACCGCCATGGATAATGCTGAGGTGGTGGCGGCCATAGTTAATTTGCTTGTGCTTTTTTTCTTTTGTGTGAGTGTTGCTTTGGATGTGAAATGAGAAGGGATGAGGGATGTGAGTGATTTTGTTGATAGAGTGAGAGGTGGAGAATTGGGAAGGATTTCACCCTCTGTCCGACGTGGCAGCTCCTGCGTTGGGTCGTGATGGATAAGGTTATCTCCATTGCCATAGCCACAATTTTAAAATTTAGCCGCGAAGCCAAGCCACCGCACCCCACTGAGGTGATATTATTTGCGGAGATGCTACGGTCTTGTTACAGAATCATTCCGTCGGGGTTTGTAATCGTTAGATCAACTATTAATGACGGTTACATAGTGATCTGACGGTTACATGATAATCTAACGATTATAAATCTGGACAGAATGCTTCCGTAACGGGAACGCAGCATTTCCCATTATTTGGATGAGAAAAAAAAACATGTATTATAATATCGAGAGGATTTCAAAAACAATCCAAAATAACAAGAATATTTTATATTGTCATACTACTGTGAGAATGATTCATAATTAAATAAATAAGAATGTATTATAGTCATAGAACTTGATACATTCAACGGTTAAGAAAGAATCTAGATTACACAATTGTAAAGGACGTAATAGACATATCCCTCACCCAGCGCGGCGTTGTGGTCACGTTCCGTAATATATATCAGCAAAAAGTCCCGTTTGCACTTCTCTAATACTCCGACAACTACGGTGACCCCCGGGCCAATCCTAAGCGAATTGCATTCTACTCAGGTCGATATTGGCCCCGTTTGAAAGATAGCGGATTGAAGATAAATTAGCGGATTGGACTTAATTGAGAGGTTTGACCCGTCAAATCCGCTATTATGCGCACATAACTATCTCCTAAATTTATTTTCTTTCCTTAGTTTGGTCATTTAGTCATTCGCACATAACACCCGACAGTGTTAACTAGAATTTTTTATCATCTTATTTATCCCCCTCACGGGCCTTAATACCCGACCAAACACCCTTATCCTAGTCAATAGGTCGCCCCTACTATTGGCAGATGAGGCTGAGGGGAATGTTCCCTGTGATGAATTAGAAAGACATAGTGGACAACTTTGGTACTCAACCCAACTGCTCATCTCCCCCTGAATTACCCTAACTCGGGCTGAGCTCGAAGCTTGTTGAGACTAAATCACTATAGCCAAGGGTAAAAAAGCCAAGACAGTATCCGAGGTCGTAAAACTTGTAAAGGCGAATCCATTCTTCGATGTGACCCCTAGCCAGACATGTTCGTTCCGCATACTATACGAGTTACCTTTCAACTAGTCACTCTGACCTCCAGAGGATAGCTCCGACCAGCCTCCTCGGATCTTAAATTTAAGACAATTAATAAATGGATAAATGAATGAGAAAATTATATTAAGAAATACTTTTAAATTTGTGTGTGATCTCAAAAAAATATACATGCCAATATTTTTTGTGTATACCTTGAAAGAATACGTAAAAAAATCACTAACTCAATACTAGGTTTATTCAAGTACGTAATATGTTCATCTAATCCAACTTTTATTTTTTAAAAATAATTTATCGTTTAGTCCAACATTTAATTTTTAAAAAATAACCTTAATATGTTTGTTTAGTCCAACATTTAACTTTAAAAAAACAACTTTAATATTACTCTCTCGTGCATCGCACGTGATATTCACTAGTGTAAATAAAATAACGGCAAACGCCTACAACTTGGTCAGTATATATAAGACAAATGAATTACAAATTCCACGGAGCTTTGGTCCAATAACTAATGCAAAGCTAAAAGAAGAAAATCCGTATAACAATAAAAATCGATCAGCAACAATAAAACAAGACAGTTGCTTCTGCAACTATGGCCACTAAAGTATGAAAAAAACTCATTCTCAAGTTAGTGTTCAAGCATGCAAAGATTCCATATATTGACAAACAGCCAAACAGACCGCGCATTCAACATCACAAAGAGCAATCTCACTACAGAAAATTAAGCTGTACCAAACCATATACTCTGGAATTGTCGTCACAAATGTTAGAAAGCCACATATAATACGCCTTTTTTATCACCAGGAAAAAATATTACATTACAAGTCAGAAGCCCATCACATCTTCCTCAGATTGTCTAACCTGGCCTGGAGGTCACTATCTATTCCACCGTCATCATTTCCCGTTGCCTCGGCTTGTGGAACCTTATTCTTTGCAGCTGGGGCAGATACAGCCGATGAAGGTGCATTGACAAGCTGCAATAAGAGGAAACCAAAATTCGCCATAAGAAACAAAATATTGATCCACATATTAAAAAAAACGCAAATGAAAAGAGAAGTGTGTGTGTGTGTGTGTGTGTGTGTTAAGAATTTAAATTATACCTCAGAGTTGATATCAATGCCAATCTCATCAAGAACCTGATTGACCAATTCTTCAGTCTCTTCTTCTTCCTCATCTCCTTCCAAAGCATCATCAATGGCATCAGCCATAACCTCACTGGTCAGCTCCATCTTCTCGTTCTGCCTCTCGAATTCTTGCATTATCTTCTGAAGTGACGGCAGGTTCATCTGCCTATTCATCTGTCCCATTGCCTTGGTGACGCCTTTCATGGCCTCCCCCATTGCTTGTGTCGACTTCAACGTCTGAAAGGAGAAGTATTTCATTGTGAAAAATAGATGGCGGCATTAGTTATTTTTAGGTATAAGAATAGACTATTGTGTGTAATTGGAAGCCCCAATTTATGTCATACAATTCAGACCAAGTCAACTGATAATGTTATGATGTCTAAACAAAAGGCACGCAAAGTGACGGCAGTAGAAATTTCATTTAAATTCCTCAATCTACATCCATTCTTTCTACAGAAAAGGGTCGAGAACCATGAAAAATACACATTATTAATCATTAAGCATATTGCTATTTCCTACTAGATGAAAACCAAAATTTAATTACAACACGAAAACTAAGAAAATAAATATATAATGTTAATGTTTGTAAACCCAGATGAAGGTTTAACTCATCTAAATGAGAATTCAAGTTTTGATGCACATGTTTAAAGATAGCTCTAATTAGTCTAATATGGCAATGTACCTGAATTCTGAGTGAAACACCTTGAAGTTGAGATTTCAGTTTATAGAACTTTTCGATCTGGTGTCGTGTTCTGATAAGATCTTTGGCCATGACCTTAACAGCTCCCTGCAACAAATACACTAGGTTTATTTATTTTAAATATTTGGGATTACACAAGGGCTTGAATTAGAAGTCTACAGATGACTTCTAGATTCAATTGAGCTTCCGTCAAAATCAATAAATCAAATGCAGATCAAGTTTCAGTTGTTATGAACTTGGTTCCACATCTTTCAGTTCAATGTATAGATCAAATGTCCATAAGTGTTATCTAATGTTCAGAAAAAATATGCCTAATAAAAGTTAAAATCACATGCTCTATGAAACAGCTACAATCCTTCAATTACATATTTCTGTTTTGGACAAACAAAACACAAAAAAAACCCCAAAATTCAATAAGTGACAATTTTTCATCTTTGTTATTCTCTTAAAAATGATTAAAGCGTTCACTCATATACTCAATTTAAAACAAAGGTTAAATGCCGAGTTAAAAATCCTGAAGCATAATAGTGCTTTTACATGATATATATAATATATCAGTAGAGGAGAACAGCAGTTTTAGTGAAGCTACATAAATTCATGCCAGTCAGATGTGTACCATCTAATTAGAACACTACCAAATGATATAAAAAAAAAAAAAAAAAATGGCCACGAGATGCTGAGTACATTGAAGGAATTCACATACCATCTGCCCTTGCTTGGCGCTTTTCTTTATCTCTGCAATAAGTTTCTTTTCTTGTGTCTGTAAACCCTGCCTCTCCCTCTCTATTTCACGGATTGATTTATCAAGCATTCTCTTATTTTCACGCAGAAGCTCTGCAGAACGCAGAAACAATATTAATAAATCTCGATGCTCAAGTACAACAAACCAAGTTAGCATCTACAATATAACTGCATGGTCCTATTAAACTCATACTTAGCACCTGACTGAAATTAACAAAACCATTAATTAATTTCAGGACCATATTGCAGTCAACAAACCAGGGAATAAATACATCCTTAATTTCACATCTCAAAAAAAATTTGAATCCCATTGGTTTCAAGGCCGACAAAATCGAGCAAATCAAATTCTTGGGACAGTTGATTACAAAGAAAAAGAGACACCCCACAATGTCTTTAATGAAGTAGGCAACAAAGCAGCACAAACCTAGCATCCTTCATCTTGAACATATGTATGTCGTGATGGTTCCAATAGTTCCAAATTTTCGATTACATCCTTTAAGCTCACTCCCAAATTACTCCCTCAACTAGTTTAAGCAACTCGCTATATAGCTCACTAAATATCACCTTCTCCTTAACTATATCCTGATCAAAAAGAGCTTAAGATCAAGAAACAAGCTCGCCTTTCATGAAAAATATCATCTTTATTTTATATTTACCAACAAAAAATCATAACGAATTAATTCAATTATACACGAACAGAAAAAGTGTCTACTCCCATCTGAACAAAAACCCATGAAACATATTAAATGGAAACCCATAATCATTCGATCAAACATATATCGCATAAACAACAAAATTAATCCAAAAAAAGCACGAAACAAAGATATCCGAAGAACATTCGAAACGGACCTGCGGGAGTCTTCCTCTTTCCGAAAAGAAAACTCATGGCGGCCCTATGGATCGATGGGCTCCCTCGAAAATTTTCAAATTCGCGATAAAATCCTAATCTAACAACAATTGGAGTTCCTTGTATTATTGTATCTGAAAATTTTCAGAAGGAATCATTCATAATCAGAACAAAAAAAAGAGGGTTTCTTGGCCGAAGCCTTTTGCTTTTACACGGAATCGAAGACGAAGAATATTATTTGGGGAAAGTGGAAACCAACGCGGAGAAGGTTTCTGCGTTTACTGAGCTCGTATTTTGATCGTACGGCTCATGTGGATTATGATGAAAAATTAAACGGTCCGTTATGGAACTATTACATCGTGATTTGTAACCGTTAAATCATCATTTAATCATTAGAGCATCTCCAACCGATGCCAAAAACACAAACGCAAACTCAAATTTGCTCCAACCGATCGCTAAACGCAAACCCAAAATGGGTATTTGGTGTGTTTGTCCCTGCTACAAACGCAAACTTGCGTTTTTACTGTTCATGAACGCAAAATGTTTTGTGTATATGCAGTTTAGTCCTTTTACTTATTTTGCCTTCATTTTGTGTTATGTATATTTTGTTTATTTGTTTATTTGTGTTATGTAATGAAAATGTTACGAGACTATATATTTGTCTGTTCATGTATTCCTTAATATTTATACGTGAATTAAAGTCAATTGAAATAATATATTTTTTAAAGTAATAATTATCATATATTTATCCTTAATTTTATGTATGTCAATATATTAGTATATATATATTTAATTTTTCAATTAACACTACAAGATTAACATTAAAGACTATAATAAATCACGGTTTACATATTGAAATATTGAAAAACATTACGAATACATATTGAAATAACACTAGTACATGATAGATCACGGTTTAGGAAAAACATTTCAATAACTAGTGAATTGTAATTTTTAATTTTATTTGTGTGCTGAAATTTTAATTTTTAATGAAAACTTATTTCTCCGATTTTATTATGTATAATTAATTTTAATTACATAAAGTCCAAATTGAATTTAAAATAATAGTGTGGTTCAGTTTGTAAAGTTGTAAAATATGTGGGTAGTATTGAAAAAAATTATAAAAGTTGATGTAAAAGAGAATATTCTGAGAATATTCTTTTGGGTTTGAGAATGAGTTTTTCGGTTGGAGATGAAGTAATGCAAAATTGGACAATTACTACAAAATGGGTTTTAGTATGGGTTTTTTCGGTTGGAGATGGTCTTAAGAATAGTTGATCTAACGGTTATAAATCCCGACAAAATGGTTCCATAAAGAAACCGTAACATGTCCCAAATTTTAGTTTTGAGCGTCAAGGATATATAAAAACCATTAATAACCATCAAATTTATAGGTCGTCTTTGGGGCTCAATTATAAACATTAACTTATGTGGAATTAATAAGTAATATTAATCAACTATGATTTATATTAATTAATTAAAATATTACTATTATATTATAATTAATTATATGATAAAAAAATTAATTGATTGGCATTACCGTTGACCTCCATTCACCATCGGTGGTAAATATTTTTAGCGTGAAGACTACACATTTAGTTCTTGCATAATGCAAATTTTGATCATACATAAATGGATACTTAGTTGATGTCCGTTGTATCTCTCAAAACTCTTTTATTTATACATAATGTATAACTAGTTCATGTTTAGTTTGAATTGCATAATTAGTCTCATAATTGACATACGTGGAACATATTTAGTTTATACATAGTGCATACTATGTTCATATGTAATGCAAGTGTGAACGTCCTGGTCCGGTTCGTGGTAGATCGATTCATTTCCTTGCCGGTAGAACGTCGAAAATCTGCAAATAACTCTCATACCGGGGGTTGTGTTCGGTGAAGAGTCTCTGATGCTTAAGTCAGTATGTGTATGAGTATATTGGAGTGTATAATGGAAAATTCGTCCCGAAGAAGAAAAACTCACCCCCTTTATATAAGGGTGAGATACCTGACCTAGGGCTGCCCGGATTTGGTGAGCTGTCTGCCCTAACTGCCCGTCCGTACACACAATACGCGTGTGTCAGAGGTAGTCGTCGCCACTATCGTCTGCACCAATATTCTTTGGACGCGTGTCCTCCTGCACATGTGGTAGACTGTCAGAGGTGGTTGTTGCCGTCAACCAATGTGCTCTCGACACGTGTCCTCATGCACATGGGATGAATATTCTTCTGAAATTCTGTTGGAGGCTCTTACACGCGCCTGTAACTAGGCCGATCCATTAGAGCGTCAAGTCTGCGAGGTGATCGACCTGTTAAGGTCGACTAAGTTGCTCGATCGCTTATCTGGTCGAGTGATAGGTTGGTCGACTGCTTAACTGGTCGACAGGTTGGCTGCTCGATCTTCCCGCCACTTGGCTTGGTTCCTTTATAGTACGACCTCTCCGACCGGTTCGGCAGACCGATTTAGCCTGGTAGGTATAATATCCTATATCAATATGCAATACATACTTAGTTCATTCGTAATGAATACTTAGTTAATACTAATTGTATATTTTGGCAGAGACACTATACTGCACATTTAGTTCATACATAGTGCACATTTAGCTCATACATAATACATATTAGTGCACTAAACAGAGTGTCCAAAAAAAATATTTGTACAATATACTTATGTACTACACGAGTGTAATAAGATGTATACTTTGTTACCCTATACTCTATAGTACTCAACTTGAAAAAGTGTGCAAAAAATAGTTGATGAACCCACATTTTGATGGTAAAGAAGTTGGATTGCATGTGCGCTATGATGCACTTATGACTTGCTAGATTCTTAATATGCATTACCACTTTAACTTTTGTATAACAAACATATCCTACAGCTACCAAATTCATCATAGGTCCTTGATAAAAATGAAACAATAATTAATTAAACTTTTCTCATAACTAATTTGTTGTTTGTTCACTTTTCTTGTCAATTATTGGAGCTGATCATGAGTTAAAAGCCTAGATTTAGGAATAAAGGGTGTTAGTTGTTTAAAGAACTATTTTCTTTTTTGAAAAAAGGGGAGCAAGGACAATAAGGAAAGTTTAATTGCAAAATTTGTTCAACATATATGATGATGTGCTAAACTGGTATTTAATTATGATATACTCATGACATTGGTGCTAAAGTCTTGATTATTTGGTGCATTTTGTTAGAATATCACTTATGAGTTCTCTCACATCGTTCATACATAAAAAATAGACTCACCTTATAAGTCTAATGGACTACTCCTCCTTCCACCAATTGGTTTTCGAATGGAACCCTACTTGGCTTCATCTGGGCTTTCCATGTCATTGGTGAACGTCATTTGCGTGGGATCGCACCTGTTTTTCTCCATTTTTTCGTTGTATCAGAGCCGGTTCTATTGGACCGTGCAATGACGTACCCATTTTTCCCCACGTACCCGTTTATGGGAGTCTGCTTCTAGTAGACTTGGGGCATCCAACTCGGTATATGAGCTTAGGCTTTCTTATTAAGGACTCACAAGTGAAGGGGTGTGTTAGAATATCACTTGTGAGTTGTCCCACATCGTTCATATATACAAAATAGACCACCTTATAAGTCTAATGGGCTACTCCTTCTTACACCAATTGGTTTTGGGATGAAACCCACTTGGGCTTCATTTGAACTTTTCCTGTCTCTGGTGCGCTTCATCTGCGTGGGACCGCACCCGTTTTTTTCCCTTTTTTTCACATTCGATGGAAAACAAACTATAGTATAGGATCATTTTCTTGATGGATGCATGAATGACTCTGTATTTCGAAAATTAAGACATATGTTAGACATTAAATAAGTCTTTTCCAAATAAGTCTTCTACGTCGAATTTCGATTGACTCTGTGTTGTAGGCGAGGGGGGTTCCTTTCTCTTCGCGGTGTTACTGTTGTAACAAGATCCGTGATTTCCATATTGAGATTTTTTTCCATCTGTTTTGAGGGAGCGAGGTTGCAAGGAGAGTGTGAGAGCATTTTGCCACTTATAATCATATATCCCTTCCAGCTACAAATATTTTTTTTTTTTTTTTTTGTGCTCCTGAGTTTTTTCACAGCGCACACACTTTAGACATGTGAGTTTCCTCATTCTTTGTCTGATGTTGTGGTTCATCTGGACAGAGAAGAATAGTGCGAAGCATAGGGAAATCACTTTTATGTGCTCTCACATTATTTTGCAGGTAGATCGACATCTCTCCCTCCTCACAACTCTAGGCAGATTCACACCTAGAGACTAGACATACTGCACGCCGCCCCCACCGTTTCATATTGCATCCTTTGCCACCTATCTAGAACCCACGACCCAGAGTTGTTGTTTGGCTGAGACCTGACTCCCTTCGGGTTAAGCTCAACACTAATAGATCCTTCGATCAACTCACTGGAGCCGCCGGAGACGGAGGCCTGATTATGGATCACACATGAGATCTCATTTTTGCCTCACATGCCCCTCTTCAGGCCTCCTCGATCTATGACGCGAAGATTCAGGCGCTTCAAAATGGTCTTCAGGTTGGTGCCTGTTCGCAAAATAATTTTACTACCCGCAAGTGTACGGAGTAGCTGCAGAAAGCGGCGAGCAAGGTCGTATTCCACAGAGACTGCTGTAAAACTAATTAAGTACCAAAATATAGACGATTAAATATTATCTAGACAAATGCAAATTTGATTGGAATCTTTATTCTAAACTAATGATTGAATGCAAAAATAAATTCTAACACTAATGAAGGCTTATTTTAAATAAATCAAGTATGAGAAAATAGATTCTAGGCTATGCTTTCCTCGGGATTATTCTAGCAAAGTTTTCTTATTCATTCAAACCTTATTTAATTCTACCAATCGTAGGGATAATCGCTAAAGTGATTTCAACCTTTCTCTCGAACAAGCAAATCGTAGATATTAATTGCTATCTATCTCTTCTCGGTCTCAAGATGAACAACTAACTCCCATAAACTCCTAAGATTCTAGTTCCCTCGCAAGATCCTATCAACCTCTCGGTCTGTTTAGCCTCTTACGTTATGAATTTCCCAATTCTAGCAATCAATTATCTCCTCTCGGTCTCAAATCAATTACAAGTATGCATTCATAGCGGTCGTCTACTCACACAATAATAATAAGTACAAGAAATCGATAAACGAAAGATAGACCGGAATGAATAAACAAAATCACTTCATAA